ATTGTATATAGTAGAAATACGTACAAAAAAAATAGGTATAGAAAATGTGTACACTAGGTGAAAAAACTGGTGCATAAAAATAATTTTTTTAATTTTTTGACTATATCTCTATGAGAATGCATAGTACATATATGAAAATAGGCTAAATATTAGCTATAAAGAGCTCATATATGTTTGTGAAATTTAAACAAGATTGGTAAATTTTAATTGGACAAAATATACATTAGAAGCTTTATTACGTAATCAACATAGAAACAAGGAGAAGGTAAACTTAGTTAATATTTTGTGTATCCTCCTTTAGCTTTAATAACGACCTGAACTCTTGATGGCATACTCTCGTAGTAAGGCAACATATCTTCTTTCTGGAACTTATTCCATTCTTTGTCAATTCTATTCCATAATTCATTAATGTTCTTTGGATGTGTTGGATATTCTGCCAATCTTATCTTTAAGTGATGCCAAAGGTGCTCTATGGGATTTAAATCCGGACTATTAGGTGGCCATACATGCATATAGTTTATACCTTTTGTTTCAAGCCATTTTCTAGTGAATTTTGATGTGTGCTTTGTGTCACCATCTTGTTGAAGGATAACATCTTCTTTACTCCACCCATAGTACTCTGATGTATCCATGTATGTAGTCCCTAGGATATACGTGTATCCTTCGGAATCAAGAGTTTTATCTTCTATTTTACATGCATAACCTAGTCCTTCGGCTGTCATACAGCCCCACATCAATAAAGAGCCGCCACCATGCTTTAAAGTTTGTTTATAGTGATGAGGACGAGTAGGATGACCCCTTTGCTTCCAAGTATATTGAACTCCATCTGACCCCCATAGATTTATCTTCGTTTCATCTGAGAATATAACTTTCTTCCAGTCTTCAATTGTCCATTCTTTATATTTCTTAGCCCAATAAAGTCGTTTCTTCATATGCTCGTATCTGAGAAAAGGTTTCGATTTTTTTAATGTTGCATAAAGGCCAAGCTGATATAAAATTTGAATTGTTCGACGATAACTGATATTTATATGATTGTGCTTCAGCCATTGGTGGGCAGCTCTGGCTGTGGGTAAAGAACCATACCTAACTTTAAAACGCAATGTAACTGCTGTTGTTGTGCTTAAATTAGAGGTTCTACCACCAGAGGGTCGTTTATAGCTAGGGTTAAGCTTCGTTTTCAACCTATTAACTGTCCATTTTGATACCCCAGTACGTTGAACAATATCAGCAGTAGACACTCCATTAAGACTAAGTGCTTTGATTGAGTTGTGAGTTTCTTGACTATGTGTAAAAAGCATTTTATGAATAGTAGTGATAGATAAAAAGATATAAAAATTAAGGCAAAATAAAATAGGTGAACCCTGCTTATTTATATATCTCATTAAAGTGAAGCAGTGCCTCCGTGGTGTGATCCATAAATAATGACGTAACTATACGTAACTATGATAATATAGTCATAATTTGTAAATATGACGTATTTTTTAGAGTGTCAGAAAAATGAGTTTATTATAAGAAATCACTATGACGTAATGTAACGTTACACAAACGTCACTATCCTGTCTAGTGTTTTATACTCTTTCAATTGCATTTTAGATCAACTTTCTATCTTAAGGGAAACACGAGATACAACAATTCTACGTTTTATGCACCAGTTTTTTCACTTACTGTATCTTTATTATTTACGTATTTTATATAATTCGCTATTAGTCATTATAAAAGGCAAAACGCCAAAGATCCAAAGTATACAGTAAAACTATTTGAAAAAAAAAAGATATTGATTAGAATATAGTTTTTTTTTTCTTTAAATATAAAGAGCTAACCATGTTCATTACATGTTCGCCGGGGATAATCAAACCGTGCTAAGTTACTTACCAATTGGATTGTATATCATCTCAAGTCATTTATCCTAAGTACTAATTCAAAAAAAAAGAAAAAAGAAAAAAAAGGAAAACAAGAAGGAAAAAAAAAAGAAACAAGTAAAAAGAAATAAAGTAAAAAATTTTTTAGAAACAAAAAGTCTTATTAAAGCATTTGTATAAGCTGACAAAGAAGTCTTTCATTTATGTATTCTATCGCCGAAGTAATTATATAACAATTTCCAAAGTCATATACAAAGCATACTATATAAAAAAAAGTTAGCATAAATAGCTTACACAGAAGTTATTATAACAATACTATTTCTTTTAATAACTAATACATACTTTCAACCATATATTTATCTTCTAAATATTCTAATCCAATAAAATTAATGTCATTACCATTGTCAGCAATCAACTCTTCATTTGCATTATAGACATCTTTAGTACGATGACAAAAAAAAAGAAAAAAAAACGAACAGCAGTGGTTATTTTTATAATTCAAAATAAAAAAAAAAGCTAGCGTGATTACATTTATTAATTGTAACATCTGCAATGAATACTTATTATTGTTGTTTACTATGTTCATTGGTAATTGCATCTTCAAGACTCTTATCAATTTTTAATGAATATATGAATATAGATAAAGATAGTATGTCTGTAAACAACCTTATATCTAAGTCTACTTTGAGAACAAGTTAATCATTTCCATTCACATTGATCTTTGTTTAATTAAACAGACATGTTGCAATGAATTTATAAATTTATAAGTTGAGATGTTAATAATCAGTATAAGATAATAAAAAAAGGAGAAAATATTTTTTTTACAGATAACTAAATTTATTGCTGTAGTTAAAACTTATATATGCAGTAAAAAATTCCCTTTCATTTTACTTATCTTTACGAAAAATAAATAAATAAATTACTAACAATCGGATGATGCATCTTTCATTTGAAAAATAATAAATAGTTTTATTATTTTTAAATACTTTAGCAGGGGTATATTTTAATTTTTCCATCTACATTCAAGTTGATTTTGGAATGGCAATTAGACATTTTGACATTATGTTCAACAAAAAAAAAAATATTAAGTACGACAAATTAATCTTACTAGATAAAATAACTTATTGTAAAGTAATAATATAAGTTTGATTTTAACAATTGACATTATACATAACTCATTACTGTACATGTTGACTTGAATTTTTATCATTTTTTTAATAAATTTTTTTTGAAAAAATTAATTAATTTGACCTTTTCTTAAAAAAAGACTTACTTCGACTTTACATTTTAAACATTCATCTTGAATGAATTATTGCTATTATTATTATTTTTTCAACTTCTTTTGAATTCAGAATATAACACAGCTAAAACATGCTTATATTTGAGAACTTGTTCAAAAAAACAAAAAAATAAAATTTTTGTCCAATAAAATTTGAAGCAAAAAAACATCGGGATTCTAAATTTATTTTCTAGTAAAAAAGACTATACCCAAAAAATTGTTATATTTTTTAACCATTAAACAAATCTTTAAATGCTAATATCTCTATCAATTCTTAACCAAATAAAAAAATTTTAACATATTCGAAATGAGCAAATTTTTCTCTTTCATTTGGTATAAAAATTTTTTAAAACTTCCAATTTTCAATTTTCGATTGTAAAAGGTCACCTTTTACAAACTTTTACAATTGTAAAAGTAGACTTTATTTGCAGTGACTGCTTTTGTTGCTGAACTCTTTGTGGTACATCTGGAAAATTACAAAACTAACAGCTCCTCATTGGTCCAACGGCTAGGATTTGTCGCTTTCACCGACACGGTCGGGGTTCGACTCCCCGATGGGGAATTTCTTTTTTGCTATTTTTTGTAGATTGCGTACACAGTAGTGTTGACCCAAGAAGGTTATTTTATCTTTGTAAAAAGTTGAGTTTTACTGGATTTTTCCTTAAAATTCACAGATTTTAAAATATAATATGGCACCTTTTGAATTCGAGTTGACGTCCATCGACAAATGAAGTCAACATATTTGTCTATCAGCCAAATGCGATCGTGAAAAACTTTTGTTGCTTTAACTGCCTTTAATCAAAAGTTAAAAAAAAAAATAGTGTTATAGCATAAAATAGTTTTTATTAGTTTAATGTCTCATTTTCATAACATATTTTAAACTAGAGAGACAAAAAAAAAAGATAAGGATGTAAACTTAAAGATTTTTTTCTAAATTCAAGCAGTGATCAAAAAATGAAATGGGATGGTTTATCCACCCAAGACAATCAGAGATAGTTACTCTTCTTGCGGCTTCTTGAATACGAGGTATCAAAGAATCTTTATCTGTTAATTTGTTTTGGCACACACCAAACTTAATCTTAGACCACATTTCTTCAATGGGGTTCAGAATATGGGGAGTATGTTGGCAAGTAGGCACACTTATATCCGCAAGATTCAATCAAGTTTACAACATCGGCCAACTTTTGGATTGGAGCATTATCCATGAGAAGAAAACGCACCTTCATATTTTTTCAATCGAGAACACCCATCGTTTTACTTAAGAATTGCAAATAATGAGATGTTCTGGTTCCCACTCGACCATTAACTTCGACCTCCTCATTTTGGACTGCCTGTGATGGAACGTTATATAATAAAGAAAAATAAAAAGAGAAAGAGAACAAAAGGAAGTATAGTTTGAGACTGTTTTATTTAATTAAAATAAAGAATAAAAAAAAATAAGAATTGAAAGTTAAAGGAAAGTTAAAGATTATTTTGTGTCTACACAACTGCATGTATTTATACTGATGAATCCTGAATCAAAGAAGTAAAAATAACCGTCAAAGAACATAAGTCATGAAACAGTGTTAATATTCAGATATATAGGTATTGTTGATTCAAGCTACTGATTTATATGAATTATTTATTAGGTGTTATAATGATCTGATTAAGGTTCTAGATTGTTTGATCGGAGCTTAGATTCCTGGTGTCTATTTCAGTGGATCAAAGATGATTTGAATCCTTTGTCAAGGTTATAAAAATAAATACTTAGAAATGATACGATGTCTTATAATTGATACATCTAGACAATTGGATGTCAATAAGTTTTATATTATTTACAGGATGTTATATACAGAGTTTTATTTCATATTCAGGCTTATATTTTATTCTGTATTATGTAATTCATCTATTATAATATTACTTATGATTATGTCCAAAGCTTGTTCTATAACACTGCCTGCAAAGGTCGTTCTTCTTCTTTTTCTTGTAGCAATAGCAGTTGGTTTACGTAGTGTCAGGTTTACAATACCTTGTTCACACACTGCACCAATAATTGCCAGGGAGACACCTCCTTGTGTGGGGATTGTACCTTTGGCGGGTTGACCCCTTTCTGATCGGGCATGGCTTCTCTTAATATGCATATTGAAACTTGCTTTATCAATGAACACGCAGTTTGAGCTGTAATCAAAATCTTTAAGCTCTTGCCTTTCCAAAATACGCTCCCTTCTCGCCACCATAGTGCTATTATCGTTGTGTTTCTCTATCAGCTTCTCAAGCTTCTTCAAGGTAAGGTTGCATTTTTTGATAAGGTGCTCGTGCATCATACTGACTACAAGTTCCAAGCCAGGGAAGGCTTCCATCACAGCAGCTTTTGCTTGCTCCAATGTAGCAGTTGAACGTCTGTCATAACAGTCGATAAAGAACTCAATGTGAACTTTAAAGAACTTTTGGTTTCCGTACTTTCTTTCCTTCTTGGTAGGAAGTACTTCAACTTGATTGCCCATTTCTTCATCACTACTTGCTACTTCTTGTGGAGACAACATAAGCTCCTTTTCCAGCGCCTGTCTAGCTTAATAGAAATAAACCATCACTTATTACATAATAAAGAAGTTATTCATATAAAACTAGTATACTCAACTTCACAGCATAATATTCATTCTACACTCAGTTTTAATAATAGTCATTGTTAGAATGTTCGAGCAATAATAATAATTATATACATAGTTCAAATAGGATTATGACTGGTGTGTTCAATTACATAATTGTTCATGAGTAATACATATCATATCTACATTGATAATATTGAACATTGTTAAGTGATAAGATCTTATGCAATGGTAATGATAGTAACTCATTAATAATTGGTATTGTTGCAACTAGACATATTCACTAAGAATTAATATTAACGCGTTGCTTACCCCAGAAATAATAATTGAGTATATTATTCGTAACAGCAACAACTCAGGGAGAAAAAAGAATAAAGATATATCTTATTGATCGCAGAATTATTCGGAGACAATGTTTTATGTAAAACACTTTATTATAGTAAAACTTGCTTATCTGAATCATATTTCCATTGGTAACACTTACCTTGTAAAAACATATAAATAGCCCTCGATCTTTCCATATAATTTTTGGTTGTACAACTTTTGTATTATCTTTAGTAAACTATACAAAGTTTTCACAGACTTGTCTTCTATCTATTCTTCTTCCATTATCTTTTGCTAATCAAAACAACTATGATCTATCTTGG